ATTTCTTCTCTAGCTTTTTTTTATTGTTGATAGTATCTCTATTTTTTTCCTAATTTTTTTTTATAATTTTTTAAAATATTATAATTTTTTCCCCTAGCTATTTGATATTATAAGAATTTTTTTATATTACTATTTGGTTAGTTGCTTTACAATAATTTTTCTTTTTCATTTTTAATGTTACTTTTTCTTAATTAATTTTAAGTTTTAATACATGACATCATCTTATTAATATTGGACACATGTCACAATTCCATGAGTTATGTACGTGTCAAATCCGTCGATAATATTTTTCTAACTTTTTATGCTTTAAATTCTCTTTATTTTCTTTCTTAATTTAAATTTTTAATTGGCTTAAAACTGTTATATATTTTTTAATCTAGCTAGTGTGGAGTATGATAAATTTTCTTTTTCTCAGAATAAGTTTGAACAATAAGAAAAACTCATAATCTAGCTAGTGTGGTATATTCTTCAAGTTGTTGCTTCGGATCTCTCCATCAGACCTCGCCCGGTGGGCTTGCCTTCTACTAATGGGCCACTTTCGAGATGTATTTTGCGGTGCGAAATACAACACCAACAATAGCCCCTCTAGCCCTTTAGGCGTTAACACACCTAAAAAGCCTTGCCTTTCAAGCTTCATACTTAACGCCCTTCAAGCTTTAGATAGATGCCCAAAGACTATAGTTTTTCAAATGAAATCCTAACAAAAATTGGAATAGAGATGAATCGTAATTGTCAAGCCAAAATCACCAATTACTAGACACTGAAAAATTGACTCCAAAAGAAAAATATCTTGTGTCACGATCGTGTCTCGATGATTTTTAATTTTTGCGCGGAAATGTTTTTGGATCGAACATGAAAAATGAAACAGAAAAAAAATTTATTTAAAAGGGATTTAAATGGATTGGGCTTATATAACGTTTCCTCTTCAACGTTAAATGAGCCCATCAAACCCAATTAACCCATCAAAAACTCTAATCATCCACTATATAAAAGGAGAGGATGTGAGACTTACCAAGAGTGCAGCTGCGGCGAAACCCTGGCCGTTTTACTTTTCACCTCATAAACCCTAGCTGCCCTTGGAACTGAACTGCACCGACGGGCTGAGAGACGATTTCCCGACGAACCATCACGAACTGTGCGACAATATACATATCTATGGAAAGGTCCGAGTCTCAGCTTTCCAGAAAATCCAATAACGTCTCGATCCAAATTCTGTGGTGAAAGTTATGACATGTTCTTTCCAACTATCATGATATGTCTTATTCTCGAACAACCGCAGATTTGACCAGTTTCGGTGRGGAATAGAAACCAAGGATCAAAWCWRTTCGGATCRATATGAATATTGGTAAGGACTTTCTTGACTCTCTTATTTACCTTAGACAGAAAGCGGTTTGTCATTTGAAGTTGTGATATGAAAGTTATGGATGTTTTCTCGTAGTTGTTATTTACTGTGAGAGTTTCCGAGCAGTCAGAGGAAAATTTACGCTGCAGTTTCGTCAATGATCGGATGAAGCTTATATTTGGTAAACAGATTCTTAACTCTCTGATCTAGTAATATTTGAAAGAATGTTGTCATTCGGTGTTATGGAATTAATGTTATGGATGTTTTACTTGGACTGATCTGTACAGAGTGAGTATGCGACCAGCCGACTTCGCATACGTTTTCCGGCCAAGTCTAGAAGAACTAGGTGTTGATATGGGCGTCGTTAGAAAGATCACGGATTCTAGTTTTTGTAGAAGCTTTCGGTTCTAAATTACGAAGTATGATCTGTTCGTAATTTGTATTGCAATATTGAGAAATATCACTATTTCTGAAACTGGAATTCTTATTTTCATATCGGATTAGAGAATTTGTGAGCTGATTTCCTGTCGTTCTGAAGGGATCCAGAAGACGATCTGGATATCATTGAAAAGCTCCGAGTCATGGCTTTCTAGAGGCACCAAGTTTGTCTTGATCTGAGATTCGCAGTAGCTCATCCTTCTATGTTCATTCTTCCGTGTCAATCTATCCAATCTAAAAGGCTAAGGTGAGGGTGTTGTCTAGATTACTTTAATACTAGTTAACTGTAGATGTTCTTACATGTTAGTTTAGGGATGAAATGTGATGTTGTTGGTTATATATGCTAAGTCTAAGGATGCTTGATGTTGCTGGTTGCTATGTGGTAGTTTGTAATATTGTTTGATGTGTGGAGACTATTTGATAAAGCTGTATGGTGCTAGGTAGAGAAAGAATGTTAAAGATTTAAAATGAATTGTTTGAGATTGTAGATAGGATATATAGTTCTGCGGACGATCGCGTATGGCCTGTTGCAGAACTTGCTTATTGGACTATGGACGATCGCGTATGTAAGCATGTTGTAGTCTAGGCCTTAGAGGGCCATGACGGGGAGGACAGACCCAAAACGCGAGAAATGGGTTGGCTCCACCGTGAAGTTAGGAT